CTAAGGAGCCTGTGGCACTGGGACACACGTCACCAGGACCAACAGCACCAGCACCCATGGCACCAGCACCCATGGCACTGAGGAGCCCATGGCACCAGGACGCACATCACGAGGACCAACAACACCAGGTCCAACAGTGCCAGCACCCATGGCACCAGCACCCATGACACTAAGGAGCCTGTGGCACTGGGACACACGTCACCAGGACCAACAGCACCAGCACCCATGGCACCAGCACCCATGGCACTGAGGAGCCCATGGCACCAGGACGCACATCACGAGGACCAACAACACCAGGTCCAACAGCACCGGCACCCACAGCACCACCCCAGGATGTGGGGACACCACCCCACGGAGCCACCCCCATGGCCTCTCGGCCCCATCCATGGTCCTGCACCCTTCCACGCCACACCTGGAGGTCCAGGTGGCCAGAGAGGGGACGGTCGCCGCGGGGCACCCACCAGTTGGTGTAGATGGTGGTGAGGGTCTGCTCGCCGGTGGCATCGCGGGGCTGCGTCTGCTGCAGGAGGACGTTGCGGATGAGGCGCCCCGTGTCCAGGCCCACCAGGTGCCCCAGAGACTGGATGAAGGTCACGTAGGCGCTCAGCCCCGCCAGCACCTCCGAGGGCCGGGCCACCTCCTGCGTGGCCTGGCTGTAACCTGCCATGGCCACGATGGCCCTGCGGGGACACCATGGGGACGCGTGAAGAGCTGAGCAGCCCCGGTGGCCCCGCCATGGCCCTGGTGGCTGGTCCTACTTGGTGAACCGCGTCTCCAGGTGGCTGCTGAGGTACTCGGCCGGCGTCACCGTGTGCTCGAAGACGCTGAAGTTGGGCACGTGGTTGAGGCTCAGGGCCAGCTCGGACAGAGTCAGGTGCAGCTTGTCCATGCTGGAGGGGACAGGGGCCATGAGGCTCCACCAGGCCATGCCATGGCCCTGTCATAGATGTGGGGACAGCACAGTGTTCCCCTATGTCACACCAGTAGCCATGGATGTCACATCCATGTCATATCACACCATTGGCCATGCCACATCCATGAGCCATGTCCTTGCTCACGTCATGCTCATGGCCGTGCCATGTCCCCATTGCATCTGTGCCCATGTCACACGCGGTATCACACGATATCCCCGCCCATGGCCGTGTCACACCCGAGGACACCCCTGCCATGCTCATGTCACACCACATCTACACCATCGCGTGCCCATGGTCTTGTGTTCCCTGCCCTGCTCTCACTTGGTGGTCAAGGTCCGGTCCTTCCTCTGGCTCTCGGTCCCTGGCTTGTCCCGCTCGGGCTCCCGGTTCTTGGACATCTGCTTGGAGGCCTTCTTGTTGCGAACCTTGCTCACGGTGGAGGCGCAGTGCTTGGGCAGCAGCTGCCAGCCATGGGCAGCACGTTAGGAAGGGCCATGGCACCAAAGCCAACCTGACCTTCGGGGTCTTCAGGAGCAGGGGCCACAGTCCCCAAGGTGGGATCAGGGCCATACCTGGGTCTTCTCCTCACCATGGCCTTCCCCATGCCAAGGCCATGGAGCCCATGGAGGCCACAGAGGTCATGGAGACTCTGGAAGTCATGGAGGCCACAAAGACTCCAGAGGCCACAGAGACCATGGACACCATGGAAACCCAAAGGTCATAGAGACCCCAAAGGCCATGGAGACCCCAAAGGCCATAGAGACCCCAAAGGTCATGGAGATCCTGGAGACCATGGATATCGTCATAGAGACCCCAAAGGCCATGGAGATTCTGGAGACCATGGAGATTGCCAAGACCCCAAAGGCCACAGAGACTCTGTAGGCTATGGAGACTCCAAAGGGCATGGAGACCATAGAGACCATCGAGACCCAAAGGCTATGGAGACCCTGGAGACTGTAAAGGTCACCGAGACCCTGTAGGCTATGGAGAACCAGAAGCCATGGAGACCATGGAGAACCAAAGACCGTGGAGACCCTGGAGAGTGTGAAGATCACCAAGACCCCAAAGGCCATAGAGACTCTGTAGGCTATGGAGAACCAAAAGCCATAGAGATCATGGAGAACCAAAGGCCATGGAGACCCTGGAGAGCATGGAGGTCACCAAGACCCCAAAGGCCATGGAGACCTGTCCCTCACCTGCTCGCTGAGGTTGTGCTGCTCGGCGCAGGCGTCCATGACGCAGGCGCTGGCCTGCCGGGCCATCTCCTCCAGGAACTTGTTGCACAGCCCCAGCGCCGTCGCCTTCAGCTGCGGATACTGCAGCGGGAGAGCCGCGGCGTCACTGCGGTCACCATGCGGGACACGGGGCACCACATGCCCCAGGACTGCCACCACGAGCCCCAGGGCCATGCGTGTCATTCTCCTTCCATTGTGTGCCACCACATGGGGCCACCACGGCCATTTCTGCCACCTCCCCTGGGGTCCCCGTGTCCCCTCCTCGTCCCGGCAGGACCCACCTCCTCGGGACACATGGGGTGGAGGCAGTGGGAGAAGTGGCTGCAGAGCAGGGGGAAGGCAATGCTGTAGCGCAGCATGGAGGGCTCCTCCAGCGTGGCCGTGAACATCTTCTCCACGGAGCGAGGGTAGAAACTGCGTGTGAGGGGACATGAGAGGGTCACCTGTGTGTTGTTCTTGTCCTTGTCCCCGTATCCGTGTGAGTGACTCCCTGTCTGGTGTGTCCCCATGTCTACCTGCATGTCCCTGTTCTCACACTTGTCTCCATATGCACAGGAAGGTCTCCAGTTCCATGTGACTGTCCCCGTGTCCACATTCCCACCAGCATGTCCCCATCGGTGTCCCCACACCTGCACGTGTCCCCACACCTGTGTCTATCCACGCCCCTACCCCATCTCCATGTCCTCGTGTTGTCCTACCCGCTCCCATAGGTGACACGTCCCACCACGGCCACCTCCATCCCTCCCTATCGCCATCGCTCCAGCCCAAGGAGGTCCCGGGGGGAGGTCCATGGTGCCAGCGCTCACCAGAGCTCCGAGAGGTCCGAGGTCTCGGCCAGCAGCTCCTCGAGGGAGTCGAGGAGCTTGGTGTGGAACACGATGAGGTTCATGACGCGGCCCACGTCGGGGTTGGTGCTCAGCGGCAGGGCGGCCTTGGCCACGCTGGTGTAGGCCTTGGGGACAAGGGGACAGAGCCGGGGTGGGACAGGAGGACTGAGGGACCCATGGGGTGGGAAAGGGGATGGGGGTAGGAAGAGGGACAAGGGGAGGGGGCAATAATGGGGTGGGGATGGAGAAGGGGAAGGGAATGGGGACAGGGATGGGGGCAAGGATGGGGATGGGGACTAGGATGGGGATAGGGACAGGGACAGGGATGCGGCAGGGATGGGGATGGGGACAAGGATGGGGATGAGGGCAAGGATAGGGATGGGGACAGGGATAGGGATGCAGCAAGGATGGGGATGGGGACAAGGATAGGGATAGGGACAGGGATGGGGATGAGGAGGGGGAGAGATCCGGGGACTAGGGAGGGTTGGGGACAAGGACAGGAACAAGGATGGGGAAGACTATGGAGAAGAGGAAAGGAATGGGGACAGGGACAAGGATGAGGACAGGGACAAGGATTGGTATGGGGACAAGGACAGGAACAAGGATGGGGAAGGCAGTGGAGAAGCAGAAGGAAATGAGGACAAGGACAGGGCTGGGGACAGGAAGAGGGAAGGGAGCAAGGATGGGGACAGGGACAAGGATGGGGACAGGACAGAGATGAGGACGAGGGCGGGTGGCACCTGCAGGCGGAACCAGTCCAGGCGCAGAGGTGCAAAGTCCAACGGCTCCTTGTCATCCCCTGCGGGGACACGGAGCCACGTGAGGGCCAGTCACAGGGGGACATGGAGGGGACACGACAGAGGGGACCGGTGTGGACAGGGGAGGCCAAGAAGGGACCAGGGTGGAGGGCACCAAACTGGAGGAGGCGGCTCCAGGGATGCTGACCTGGACGGGCAGCTCCGGAGGGAGCAGTTTTGGGGGTGCCAGTTTGGGAATGCCAAGATGAGCGGTGCCAATGTGGGGGGTGCCAGTTTGGGGGTATCCGTCTGGGGGTGCCAATGTCAAGATGCCAATGTCAGGGTGTCAGTCTGGGGGTCCCAAATTGGGGGTGTCAGTCGGGGGATATCAATCTGAGGGTGCCAAGATGATGTGTGGGGTGCCAATTTGGGAGTGTAAATGTGAGGGTCCAGCGTGCCAAAGTCGGGGGGGCGTCACCATGGGAGTGCCAGCCTTGGAGTGACAAAATGAAGGGTGCCACCATAGGGATGTCCCTCAGGGGCTGTGGCACCCAACGGGTGCCAGTGTCACCCCAGGCCAGGGGACACCCCCCCACCTTCCTTGAGGGAGAGCGCGGAGAGCGAGCGGACGAAGGCCGACAGGATGACGGACTCCTCCTCGGGGCACACGGGCCGCGTCGCGCCAGCGCCCGCAGCCGCTCCAGCAGGAACAGCAGCTCGGCCACGTGGCTGGACACCAGGGACACCATGGACAGCGAGGACACCGGGGACAGTGGGGACAGCAGGGACAGCGGGGACAGTGGGGACACTGGGGCGTGGACACCTCGCGGTGGCCATTGGCACCCCATCCCCAGGGCCACCGGGGCTTCATGCATCGCCCTCAGCCCCGCTGAGCATCCCTGTGTCGCCAGGGCCACCAACTGGCCCAGGTGACACTGCTGCCTACCATGCGCTACTGGGACCACCCAGGGCCACCAAGTCCCCTAAGTGCCACCCAGGGCCCACCAAGGTCCTAAGTGCCACCCAGGGCCCAACAACCACCCTAGGTGCCGCTAGTGTCCAATGAACCTCCCAGGGCCACCAACGGGCCCAGGTGACACTGATGCCTACCGTGCCCTGCTGGTACCACCCAGGGCCACCAAGTCCCCTAAGTGCCACCCAGGGCCCACCAAGGCTCTAAGTGCCACCCAGGGCCCAACAACCACCCCAGGTGCCACTAGTGTCCGATGAACCTCCCAGGGCCACCAACCGACCCAGGTGCCACTGCTGCCCACCATGGCCTGCCAGTGCCACCCATGCCCACCAAAACCCTAGGTGTCACCGGTCCCCAGTGACTGCCACCCCCCACACCAGATGTGCCCACCCAGTGTGGCCCACATGGCCAGGACACCCCAGGGCCACCCGGGTCCCCCCCACCTGTCGGCGAAGTCCTCGGGCGCCTTGGTCTTGGTGACATGCTCGGCGTGACGCGCCAGCCAGCGCAGCTCGTCACGCGCCAGCGAGAGCGCCACGAACACGAGCAGCGCCTGGGAGCGCGGCGGTGGGACGGGGTGCTGAGCCAGATGTGCACCAGATGTGCACCCAGTCCTGCACCCAGATGTGCACCTAGCCCCGCTCCCAGCCCTGTACCCAGCTGTGGACCCGTCCTGCACCCAGCTGTGCACGGCACCCAGATGTGCACCCAGCCCTGCTCCCACCCTGCACCCAGCTGTGCACCCAATCTGCACCCAGCTGTGCACCCAGAGGTGCACCCAGCCCTGGATCCATCCTGCACCCAGCTGTGCAGCCAACCTGCAAACAGATGTGCACCCAGCCTGCAAACAGATGTGCACCCAGATGTGCACCCATCCTTGCACCCAGCTGTGCACCCCGCCGTGCAACCAGATGTGCACCCGTCCCTGCACCCGGCTGCGGAGCCATCCTGCACCCAGCTGTGCACCCAGCTGTGCAACCAGATGTGCACCCAGCCCTGTACCATCCTGCACCCAGCTGCGCACCCAGCCTGCACCCAGCTGTGCACCCGTCCTGCTCCATCCCGCACCCAACCCCTGCACAACCCCGTCCCCTCGTTGTCCCCCCGGGTCACCTTGGGCCCCAGCAGGCCGGGCTGGTCGGCCAGCAG